TCAGCAGGATGATCTTTCTATTTGCTTTTCCTCAGCTGCTCTGGTTTCCCACCCTCCTCCGTTAGTCACCACCGAGGCGATGATACGAAGCACGGCTGATCCCATCCCCTCTCCGACAATTCACAGCGTCCAGAGGCGCTGCGGCCACGATGACACGAGGTCGGCCAGCCATGAAGTCATGCGGCCAAGGGATGAATCAAGAAGTTTCCCAATCTCCTGAGCTTAGACATAAAAAGACAAAGGAAAAAAAAAAAAAAAACCACACCGCCCTGCACTTTTGCAATACATCATCAGGTCATCGTATCCAAGATTTTGAAGTACAGAGATAAAAAAGCCTGAAGAATCATAGAACCGTTAAGGTTGGAAAAGACCTCCGAGACCATCGAGTCCAACCGTTACCCTCACTGCCAGGTCCACCTCTACCCCACGTCCCTAAGCACCGCATCCACGCGTTTTTTGAACACTTCCAGGGACTGCGATTGCACCACTTCCCCTCTAGAAGAGGGGACTTCTAGACTGGAAATTCAATTTAATCAAACCTTTCAAAGTTATTTTAGTTTTAGTATGATAATGAAAGTCGAATAGAAGTTACCGTACTTCAGCAGTAGAAGCAGTGCTAAGCAGCACGCTCAGCCATAAGCACATACTGACACAGTTAAAGCAAAACCCTTTTGTTTTGCTTTCGTTTAGGCAAAGACTTAGTACGTGCCTGCCCAGGCACCTGACGAGGAGCCGAGCCCGGACTGAGCCCTGCAGGCAGCGTTCATCCCGCGCCGGCTGATTTGCATCGTTCTTCTCAAGCCTCCTCCCCGTTTTTTCCCTTAAGAGGATTATTTGACCGAACATTTTTAAACATACTCCGAACGTTATACTCCCCAGGAAACTGAAGGGTAGCTCTGAAAGAATTGTTTACCTCATACACTACCCATTTTAAATGATCAAATACTTCCTTATTAAAAAAAAGATGATAGGAAGACAGATTATTTTTTTTTCCCCTCCTTAAAGTAAGAGGGTTAAGCATAGCTGCCACAGCATCCGCAGTCCTCGCCCATCACACAGCGACGGCCAGCTCAGCCTTCGCTCCCGACTTTCACCTTTCATCATCGCTGACAGGATGAGATATGTCAAACCCAGTCTCAGGCCATTCACTTTGCAAGGGAAACTGGCCGGCAGAGCCAAGCGACCGCAGCGGGAACCCCGTGCACGCCTGCCTCGCGCCACGCCAGCCGACCTGCCGCCGTGAGCCAAGGACCGCCCGAAAAAACCATCCCACAGACAGCTCCTCTGCACAGCCATGGCGGTAGCCCAGGAGAAATGGAGCCTTCCCTCTTTCTCTTGCTGAATTCACCTCAATGCCACACACTGGGAATGGGAGAAGGCTTGATTTACAGATGAGGATCCCTTCGTTGCGTGGTCTCTTCCAAACAGCTACACCAGGGGAAGGGAGTCCTTCACGCTTCCGAGCACCAACGTTAGCAAAACACGGGCTGTCCAAGCAGGGACACGCACCTTGTACCCACGTTCCTCCTGCAGCTCTTCCCAAGAGCTCTGAAACTGAGGTTCAGGCACGGGAACCCAAACCTTCTTGCCATTGCATCTGTTCAACCTTGCCTCCCTAATTGCTTTGGGGAAAAAAAAAACTGAAAAAAAGAATAGTTTATCTAAATAGAAGCCTGGAAGTCACGGTGGGCAAAAATTCAGTGAAGAGCCCCTGTGAACCATAATCCAATGATTGCTCTCCTTCCCTGCTCCTGACGGGCACCTAGCTAAGAGGGTCCAACCTGAGAACCTCCTGCAGCTCTTTAGACACACAAATCCTGCGGGAAGACACTGGTACGGCCTGGGCCGTACCTGCAGCAAGCAGGGTGAAGTTGCATTAGCACCAACTCATCTCTTACGCAGGAGGCAGGGCTGATGAGCAGCCCTGACCAAACCTGGCATCCTCCAACTCGGCCTCAGAGCAACCGCGGGCAAAGCGGAGATCTCACAGCTTGGCCTCCGCAGCTTGTAGCACTAAAGAGAAAGCCATAGTTCACAGGAATATATTTTTCAGTAGCTTTGCCGTTATCTGATGAAAGGCAATACTGTATTACAGCCTCCACTCTGAATACAGCCTTTAGCACTCCGACCACTGATTTTTTAATATGCTGACACCAAGTAAGGAGGTGGTGACAGAATAACTGGTGACATCAACCTGGAACCACGAGCTGTTAGCAGAGCCATGGCTAATTCCTTGCCTAGAAAGTAAGGGCAGGGTCTGGGAAGTCCCTGCAGACCCGCAGGGGATGGCACAGCATCGCTTGGCGAGCCAAGGCGAGAGGGGACTGCACAGGGATTTGTTTTCTACGAACCTGCAACCCTTGTGTAGGGACACAGCTTTAAATGTAGAGTCTGTTAAGCTGGCACAGCCCTTATTTCATTGCTAGGTTGTCACAAGCTTTTAACTGGAAAGTGAGAACTCCTGCAGCTAAGGTAACGGAGGATTTGCAGAGACTCAGGCACTGGATGTACCGTAAGGCCAACGGCGGCTGGGTCTGCAGAGCACAACACCGCCCACCTGATTAACAAACAAAGAAAAATTAAATCTACTTCATTAAGAACGACTGCTCTACATATTTTTCAGAAGAGCTGTTCATTCCCACTGGTGGTAAAAGCTGCATTCTTCTGCTTAAACTTAAGAGTGCTTCCTCTCAGTTACGACATGGCTAAAAATATCTATCCAGTTTGTGATTATACAGTAGAAAACTGATACACACCTCATTTATTAAGCAGAGATGAAGCTGCATTGGGACAGAAAGTGAAATCCTATTCAAATTGTTTAATGGTTAAACCGCCTTAAGGAGGCTGGCTACACAGGAAAATTAAGAGCAGAACATTTTTGGCACCTCACTGGGTTATTAAATATGAAATACTATGTGTTGTCTGGTCAGTTGATAGACTGACTCTGGTTACTATCGCCTTTCACCTAAGATCAATTAATTCATCTCACACCTTGTTTTAATTCATGGACTGGAAAATTTCAACTCCTGACAATTTTTTTTTTTTCCCCAACCGGCTGTTGAATATAGTTAGTTGATTCAAAGAAGAAGAAAGTAATTTTGCTGCACTTGCAAAAGATGCTGATCTCCACAAAACCCTAGATCTAGGCAGCTATTTATCACCCCTCCAGCATTTTGATTTTAGGAATACTTAAAAATATTGCTTTTAAATTTTATTCTTCAACAATTTTAAGAGACAGCCTAAACTTGGATAATAATTATCAAATAGCATTTTTTTGAAAGCAAGTTTGCATTTATTGTTAGTCAGCCTTCTCTACAGCCAGAGGTAAGCTGCAAGACACCTTACCGCAGAGCACAGCATCCATCCTGAGGACAGGACTAGACCCACCACCAACGGCTTTAATGACTCACTCTATAGTACAAAAAATAGTCTGATCACTATTTGGGTTAATTAGCCGGTCAGATTAGGGCTCCCATGTGACAACTAGACGTGATACATGCCAAAGAGCTAACAAATATGAATACACCAAGAGACAGGCGCAGCTTGCAGCTGGGGTTTGCTCCAGCTCACGGGGCAGGCCGCTAGCAGGTTTGGAAACAGAAGATGACAGTCCCCAAAGAAGAGGGCAGGTTAACTGCTTAAATGGGGGCACAGATACAGGCCGATTTTAAGAAAATCGGCTTTGTTCGTTGTCTAACTAACCAAAACAGTCTCCTCCCTGGTGGTACCCGAGGTGTGGTTCCTCCGGGATGGCCACATGAAACGCACAAGTAGAGTTGTGAGATTAATGTCCCTGGGCAAAGGCTTTTCCCGCAGGCTACCCAAGCGCTAGTATGTGCTCCTGCCCTTCATATTTTTAGATGAAATTTTCTATTTATCACAGTAGGGATGCTTCATAATGAGAACCCACCAAGCAGAGCTTCTTCTCAAATTTACGATCCAAACCACGATACGGATACCATTACAACCCAAAACTTGGGAACAAAGTTCTGGCTCTCTGCTCTGGAGTGCGGCTGTATTAATGGTTTCAGACGACGACTGTACCTCAGAAGTGCTGTACGCTGGTAATAACCATCTTTCACTTCTAACTATAACGACACTGCAATAAGCAATGCTACAAGTAGGTACATTAGTGACTAGCGTAGAGGAGAAAGAAAAACCTCAACTGACAGCCACTCTGATAGTTATTCCAAGAGAAGGAAAGATGACATACAGGTCTTTCAAGAAAAATAAAAATTAGAGCATTTTATACCAAAGACATTTTTCCCTGCCTCCTGACCCCATCATTAACTTGCCACTGCAATCAAAGGCTTTTAGTTACGCTGCAGTTACCAAACCCCTGTGCCTGCCTGTGGAACATTTCAATATGACTCACGCTATATATAGCGACCGAGACTGCTCCCATTATAATTCCATCGCGCTTACCCGTTTCTGAGGAGCAACTGACCACTTATTTCACTTTGTATTTTTCACACATACAAACGCCAAGATGATACGTGACTTTCCTACTTGTCAGCATTCAGCTAGAACTGCAGTAAGGTTTCTAGACAAGATATTTTCCCCGACAAGCACTTCAAGCTGGAGCGCACCAGATGCTGGAGCCGCGCGGGCTCGGGCTTGTCGAGGTACTAAGGAGGAGGACAACCTGGAGGTCTCAAGGACCTTAACCAAAAGCCAAGGAAATCATGGTCAACCACTCAGCTATGCCAGACCACCAGGGCCCTACTGCTGCCAAGCTAATGGATGGGAAAAGAGGGGAGCTTTAAGAGTCTCTGATGATGCTGGAGAAAGCTTCCCAAGGGAAGGCTGCGCACAAGCTCTCAGGGATGTTTCCCTCTTCTGGAAAACAAAAGCCCTGGTTCAAGAACCATGTACAAACTCTTTAATAAAGATTTCTTAGGTATGTATCAATTGATAAATTGATTTATATATCAATCCAGTACAGAATGAAGTAGTCACACTGTTTCCTTACGTATCTCAGGCTGGGACAATCTATCAAATCGGCAATCTCACAGGCAGAGGAATACTGCAATTCCCAAGACAGATGGCAACTCAGTAAACAAGTTACACGCAGCAGAAGAGCCAGAGGGCAGCAACTTGTATTATTAACTACTTCCACTTCTGCAGCACCAGGACTAAGGTAGCAGCTGCTGAGCAAAATTAGAAAGATACAGTAGTAGCAAAGCAATAGTTATAAGAGAGGGACTACGTCCAGCAAATAAAATAGCTCCAGGAAGAAAGTTGTTTTCATTAAGAACATTAATTTCGTGAATGAAACAGATCAGTGTGAGCAACAGTGTGGGGAAACCTGACCTGCATGAGGAGGATATTAAAAGGGACCACCACTCAACAGGTCACGCAGCATGCCAAGATGGCCCAAAAAAGGAAGGTTGCAAAAAAACCCCATGCAAATCTTCACCTACACCAAATCCCCAATTCAAAAATGCTGCTAGGCCTGTGTTTTTATACACAAAATTCCACAGTATATTGTCAAATGTAAAATGAACTACAAGGTAAACAGTAAGAGATACTGTGTCTTTGTTCAAAGGAGCAGCAGAGAACTTGGTGCAGACTGCAGAATTACTGACTCACACCAGTGAAGGAAACAGAGATCTCGGACGCTGGCAAGATCTCATGAACTTAAAGGAATACCTGAAAGAGAGAGAAAAGGAAGACATTCTTAAAGAGTAAGTGAAATGGGAAATAAATGCTTGGTGTAGAGCTTTTTGGCCTTTTCTTTTGATTAAATAAAAATGTTCTAGTGCTCAGCAGCCTTTTTTTTTTTCGTTACAGCAAGTTTGCAACCCTATCCCTGTTCAATTTTTTGCCTGCGATGGGGAATTGGCCCTGTGTGGTGGAGGTATTGCATCAAAAACAAATTTAAGATCTTTGAGATATCCAACACTTTGTTTAGAACAAAGTTTCTCTTCCAGAAATTCAGACCACAGTGTACTAGAAGAGAGAGTAATGGGGGCTAAGACAGGGAAACACACAACATCTGCTGACTTTACTAACAGCTGAAAAAAAATTCATCACCATTTTCTCATGCCACAGACAGGTTAATCCAGTGCAGTTCGGAAGCACATTAATCAGGATTTCTTTTGTATGTGTATGTTATGAACTTAAAAAAAAAAATACTCCTTTAGAACACAGCAATTTTACAAGAAAAACAAAAGGACCAGTGGATTAGAAATGAGCATCTTATGTCGCAAGATTATTATTTTAATTTCAGCCTCATCCAAAAATCTTACTTATGGAGGTATTCACTCTTGGTATTCACACGTTCAAATCTACAG